CAACTTAGTGTTTCTCCAACGATCGTCTACAGATTCTACATGTTCAATGTTCATCATACAAGGAGCTGTTAGTATATGACATATAATTATAAAAACATAATCGACTGGGATGATGATTCGGTGATGTATTTGTCGCTAGGTCGTCGAATTTGTGATCTTAAATTCTTGAACGTCCAAGGAGAATATAATATGAAAGTATAACAGACTGCGATGATGATTCTGTGATGGTTTATTTTCGCTAACACATTGAATTTGTGATCTTAAATTCGTATGAACTTTTACCGCGGTAGAGAAACAGCTCACAATGAAGCTCCTACTGCCCGAATAGGCCAGCACAACTGGGAAGTACCTGTACCAGAGACCCACAGAAGACCGTAGTGTTAAGTACAATTGAACATACTGTTCATTTAATGAATGAAGTAATCTGAACCCCGCTCTCTCAGTACGCCAGCACATCTCTCGTATCCATGGTCTGCGCTCGTGACTTAAATTTGTAATGAAGTAATAAAAAAAACTGTATAAAACGTGTTTTTGCACTTTTACGGGAAATAAATCACGCCCTACGGCAAGTTAAATACGGCAGAAAAGATCAACTGCTACGTTTTGGGACGACATTGAATCTGTCAAGCTTGTAAGCGTTAACTACCTGTGTCCAAATATTAGATGAAGTTTTAGATACATGTTTTTATTTATTTTTTAAATAACTTTTTAAAAGTAACTTGGCCTATGATTCTGAGCATTTTTTTTGAAACACAAATAAACTTAAAAGGTCAACTTCAAGTTAATGCAGAATGAAAAATGCAACAATCCAGAATTGGTCCGTGTCAAGGACTGGCGAGTCGCCCATTGGCGGCCGAAATGCAGTTTCACTGCCAAGTATAATCACTTGCGCAACACTACTACTCGTTACTTCTGCAACAAGATCTGCACTATCTATCTTTGTATCATCATCATTATCATTTCAGTCTGTTCGAGTCTACTGCTGAACATAACCAGATTCCACTGACACGAAGGACTGTTCTGAGCTACTTGCATCCACTTCTCGCACATTTGCACAGGGCATCACTGCATTTCGTTCGAAGGAGCTCGTCCTACCTTTCTTCTCCGTCAGTTATCAGTTCTACTAGCTATATGGCCGGACCATTACCACTTCATACTACTACTCTTGTTGGTACCTTTTTTCTACTGCGGGTATCTTCATTCTTTATTATCTATCAAGCTCGTGAAAATTTAACTCTGTGCCCGAGAATGCTTTAAATAGTAAGTAGCATTTCATCATTTATTACAGGTTGAAAGCGCAAACATCAATCATCAAAGCCACGCCATATTTTTGAGATATAGCTATTTTATATAGTTTTACAGCTTGCACCTATTGAAATATAATAGCTGTACTATTTGCGCTTAATAATAACTAAATTCTTCCTTTTGCGAGTTCAGATTAAAAATTTTTCAACAAGGTTCCACTAAATTATATATACATATAAAGATTTTGCTATTCCCTGCTGTCAAGAAAAACTAAAATATTGCCTTCTTTTGACTTTAAAGATACATGCACCGGTTATTTTTCTCAGAAAATCCACACAAGAAATCAAGAAGACACAAGAAATTGTCGTCGTGATTCGATAAGTCGTCGAAATTTCATTTATGGCCTCATATTCAATTCTCAGTCACTTTATATACCGCACTTTTCCAGTGCGAATATTTTAAATATACTTAAATTTACCCTTACGAAATATTCTAAGGGTGGAATCGTGCCGAGCAGATTACCTATAGGGGATGTGGTTTACAATAGATAGAGTTAAAGTGTGGCGTAATGTTAAAAAAATAAAAGGCAGCCATGCTACTTTCCACTGAATGAAAGTAAAAATACATTTAGACCAGAAAGCAGAGGTTATGCAAGGTCAAGCGTAAAGCTATTTTCAAACATGTTGTTCCCCGGTCCCTTTGACTTCTTTCCTGAAATCAGGTTTGCTCTTTTATTATTACACTAGCTCTTACGCACGGCGTCTTTCGCGTTTTTAAATATATTTTCCTAATAAAAAAATCCTATGTCCTTCTTAATCCCTTTATGAATATGTGTACAAAGTATCATGATATATATAACCGTCATAGCCGGGTGCTCCCTTTTAATTCAATATAATCACCAGGCCATTCACCGATAACCGTTGGGGAAAGGTTCTCGAGTGGCAGCCTCGAACTGGCCATCGCAGTGTAGGACGACCCCCCACTAGATGGAGTGACGATCTGTGCAAATGTGCGGGAAGTCGATGGATACACGTGGCTCAGGATCGTACTTAGTGGCAGTCTATGGGGGTGGCCTATGTTCAGCAGTGGACTCAAACAGGCTGAAATTATGATGATAATGAATCGCAAGTAAAATTGTTAATTACAATAATGATTTGTCACGTGCTTTGGGAAAAAAACCAATAACTAAAAACCAACAGCTAATGCAATAGTTAAACACAATTAATTAAAATGTGAATAGTGTATGTCTAGAACATTATACATAAACCTATAAAAAAAATTATCAATAATAAATAACATTGTCCTTTTAAATGTTCATCTTTTAAAATATCGATCGTAATTTCTTTTTTCAATTCGCTTAATATCTGTTATGAAACAAAAATATAATGATTAACATTTTCGCACAAAAAAATTGCTCTTTATTCTCTCCAAGCTCGACGCATTAGGGAAATTAGAAAGACTTTGTGACCCAAAAAAAATGTTCCCACTCATGCGATAATCCTTGAATAGCATTATGAGTAATTTTGTAATGGATCTCATATTGCAGAAGGAAATGTTTGAAATTTAAAGAGTGTTTGTTGGAGAGGAGGATCCGAATATTTTTGTGATATTTGAAAAGTGACAGTTCCTTTGGTAAGAGCCTTAATTAATTATAATTCTCAAGTTACCTGGGCATGTAATGTAATGACTACGGAGAATGTTTAAAATTTTACTCTCATACTAAGCGAAGGTGCCTTAGGACTTCGAACAAACACTGGCTTTTAAGCCCAACAAAAGGGAAAACTTAGTTCTTGTACGTAAAAGGTTATCGTTTTACAGACCGTCATACATTTTTCTTAATATAATAAAAAGTATATATATGATCGACGATGACAGCTTGATGTTGGTTGATCTGGAAACAAATAAAAAATAATAATAATCCAATTACATATGTGCATATACATATATTATGTTTACATATATATAACGATATTGAGTACATTCCAATTAACGTATGTTATAAATGAAAACGTGACACCTGAAAGATGGTAACAATGCCTTTATAATCTGCAATAAATTCCGCACCTCTTAGGATTATCGTCTAGAATGCGCACCTCTGCAGAGGAAAGGCATTCCAACGGCCTAAATCACTAGGCGACGGCATTATGCACGGGATTAGTATCAAGTGATCGAGAGACCTATCTTACGACAAATTTGAAGACAGTTTTAAATGAGGTAAATGCTTGTAGTAGTGACCTATTTCTTTTCTCGTTTTGTGTTACCGAGGCCAGACACTAAACATATTATGTTCTAGACTTATCTTATATTCTAGAGCACATTTAATAATATTCTTCATTTAGCACCTGCCATCTACTTTTCACCATGACAAGGTTTGACTGGTAGAGAATACCATTAGGCATTAAGTCCGCCCACGTAGCCCTTAGCTTAATAGGTAGCATTGAAGCAGAAGGTAAATAAACAAGTATATTAACTTAATATTTATTGACCTACATCACCAACTGGTTAGCTGTTTTATTGGTAACTTTTTTCGGAAATTCAGTAATTAACAGCATTTGTATAAGTTCAACAGTTCAGTTTAAACAAGGTAGCTCTTGTAAAAGCTTCATTGAATTTGTCCCTTTTTAAAGTTATATTAAGATTTTACGAGGACTCTCAAATCTCTTTGTGATCAAATCGAGCAAATGAAGTAGTAAATGAGACCAATTCACGAACGTTTAATATTCCTTCGAAAAATTCCTTTGACAAAAAGTTCCGAATAGTTTTTATGTTACTAGTGGATGGTGTTTTGAACGGGTTTGAGAGTTTGTAATACCTTTTTATTATCAAACGAATATTTTATATTTGAATATAAACAATGTTAGTTTCATGAAATAATATTCGACGAGCGCAATCAAGTTCTTTACTAATGTATTTTATGAAGTGACTTTAGCATTGAAAATAACTAAGAACAACGCAACTTCGGTGTAACTTACATAGAGTAGCTGCGACCGATTGATTGTTTTTTTTTACTTGTAGTCTTTTGTTTACTTTAGGTTAAAAGACGCGAGAGGTTCTATTCTTGGCTGTTTCTTGATGTTGAAATATCACTGAAAGAAACTTTTTTTTAATAAGAAATGATATTTTTGTAACATTTGTACATTTCTTTTTTATTTATTTTTGATTGTCGTATTATATGTACAACGTTTAGCTTGCTTACGTAGCACTCAACTTTCCATAATCCATTTAACATTTATAAATAACTAGCGACCAGCCCCGGCTTCGCACGGGTGCCATGCTGATTGTTTGTTCCTCTTGAATCACTCTATCTATTAAAGAAAACCACATCAAAATCCGTTGCGTAGTTTGAAAGATCTAAGCATACATAGGGTCAGACAGAGCGAGACGACTTTGTTTTATACTATGTAGTAATCTGTACAACAACACAAGTATTATTTAAAAAAAAACCGACTGCAATGCGAAAATTAATGAAGACATTGATAATACCTATAACATTCAATGGCCCTCGATTTCTCTGGGATGTCAGCATCAAATCCGGATTTCTTTATCATGGTACCACCCTTGGGATATCTCCTTTCCGACAAAAAAAGAATCATCAAAATCGGTTCATAAGCGACGAAGTTATCCACGAAAACACACATAAAAAAAATAAAAATATGTACGGTCGAATTGAGAAACCTCGTCCTTTTTTGAAGTCGGTTAAAATCATTCGAATTTATATTGGGCTCCTATCCGAACTGGCGGGAAAGCTTCGTGGTATGCGTCGTATCTTTCTCGTGGATCGCAGCTTGTGGGCCGCATTACAGGGTCGTAATGAAGACCGGGAATTGCCCAGGCGGCCGGCGCCAGTGGCGCGCTCGTCACTCGGCCGTCAAAGGTGAGAATTGCATTCAGAGGAAACTTTTTAATTGCGCACTTTCACCACTCTTTGATCGAGCGATTACTTTATTTTATGCTAACTCATTAATAAAGAGTTTCCAAGCGCAAAGGTTTGTTTGTATTGGCCAATAGTTTCATTTCTTTATACATACCAGTGGTCGTTTATAAGATTCAATTTATAAATTCAACATTTCTCATATGATTTAAGCAAAGTAACAGCCTATAAATGTCCCACTGCTGGGCAAAGGCCTTCTCTGTAAAGATCTGGGCATAGCGCGCCACGCGACCCCACTGCGGATTGGCGCGCTTCACATATTTTCGAATTATTTTTTTTTGTTATTGTGTCGAAAACATGCAGGTTTCCTCACGGTGTTTTCCTTCACCGCTGAGCACGTGATATGTCAGAACTCAAAATTAACAATTTCATTGGTGCTGGCACCGGAGATCGAACTCAATTTGCTCGGTTGCTGCTAGTATATCAAAGCTCAATTTGCTAGTATATTTAATTAAAAGCGAGCACCGGGACAATGAACTATCACGGCTCATATGAGTTAAATTGTATGTAATATATTAAACACCGTAAATCTCAAAGCATTAAATAAAAGTTTAAGTCTTAATTGTGTCTAGGATTTGCTTCGAAATTTGAAAGGCACGCTAATGAGGGCGGGAATAAGAAATTAAAACGCTCCACGCAGTACTGCACCATTAACCTAGATTGCACTGCACTCCTCATTAAACCCTCTTTTCTAGCGGCCTTCTCTATCGCCGACGAAAGTTTCTCAGATCGGGCGGCGATTTGCGGATTAAGGACATCCGAGCATGGAGCCTAAGATTCGCATATTCATACCTACCACTGTGATTTATTGTCAAGTTAGAATACTTGTTTGTACTAAATTTGAACGCGAACCTCGCTCGCTTGAAACACGAGTAAATAGAAAATATTCGATTACTGTTTGCGTAATAGTTAAGGCACTGATGTAGCTAAACCTTAGACGTAAACTAAAACAAAATAAGTTCATCGTGTATTAATTACGGATATTTGTATTTTAATTATTCCATCACTGGAATGCTTCTCAGCTAGTTAAGAATACATTTCAATTTCAAAGTATTTACTGAACGACGCTGTCAGTGTGATTCTGATTGCAACTTTAACATTTAGTTATATGTATTCCTATGAAAGGTTTCCTAAAATGTACTATGTGTGAAAGCGGTTATATTACGATTAAGGTGCATGGTGACTGTTATACTTGTGGCAAATAATCCAATAGTTAATGTATCCCTCTCCTCGGCGTTACTTCATATTTAGTGTTGTTTGGCGTCCCTTTGGTGAGAGGTTTTTGACGGGTGCCGACACATAGTTACGGCCTGTGTAAAGGCAAGCGTGCTGGCGGTTCACTTGATGTTAAGTGATAATCATCGACATGGACATTTGCGACATCCGTAGGGTTGCAGATACCCTGCCACCTCTTAATAACAGTCAGACCTTTTAAGAACAGCTCTAACACTCACCAGACGAAACGCAGAAGTATAACACTTCCACTTCACAGCGCTCTTCTTTGGTGTTGTGGTAGGTAATTCTCCGAACGGACCTGACCATTTGCGCAACAACGAAGGCTTTGTATAGAGATAACCAATGCTAATATTACACCGCGTGAGAAATAAAAATAAACATGGAACAAAGAGCGTGCGACAACGGACGCGATGCAATCAAAGCGAGTGCGCGCGTGGAAAAATATTTACCCCGACGTAAACCACAATAGCTTTCAAAGCTTTCTGCAACCAAGTCGGGCTTGTTTAAATTTAATTAGTTCTGCAGCAGCTCTATATGAATTTTAACAACCGCTTAGTTGTCGGGCTTCGCTACACGCAAAGCAAACAAGGAAGTAATACGGCCATAAGCCCGCTACCAGTGGCAAACATTAAAATCCACCCGCGGTCTGCGTAATAAAGCAATGTTTGACTTGACCGAGCGAAAGATTGTGCCATATCCTAAATGAGGGGCGAGAGCGTGCTTAAAATATGTATTAGTCAGTCCTAGGACTAACCAATTGATATTCTTTGTAAACAAAAACCCACATACTAGTCGATTCGTGCTTCCGAATTATATTCCAGTTTTTGTGTAAGAACCTAAACAAAACAAGATTAGGGAACAAAAGACTGAGACTTTTCAATAATTATTTAAGTTTCTGTAGGTAAAAGGCAAACTTTGCAGGCGTTAAGTGTGAAAACAACTTTGGTTTTCAAATCGAATTGGTGCAATCAAAGAAGTCGTCCCCAAAAGAGACCTTTTTCCATTTGCTCGAACTTCAATAACTGTCAAAGCGTCTCTGTTTAAAGGTTATCGGGCGACTGGAATGATCTCGTCGGGTCAAACGTTCAAAGGGAATGATAACGTAACGCCTTAATACGAAAGTCTCACGTGACTACTTGTAACATCCACGCTAAGTGCCGCCGCGCGACACGTGCGCCGCGCACCCAAGTGTTACCTCCGAGGGCTCTCCGAAAGTGCGCTACGATAACTAAATTTCCCCACTAGTAAAGTGTCGCACTCGCTCTCTTGTGACGGTATCTTGAAGCACAAAGCGCTGCATTCCTCTTTTTCCACCACCCGCCACGAGACGCATTCGAAGTCTCCACTCTCGCGGCACTAGACTCGCGAATTTGCATCTAAATTTAAAGCGCATTCTCCGCTCTAAGGGGCCGTCGGAAGTCAGGGCTGCATCCGAAATTGGGACAAGGCGACATGAATTATTCATATTACTTTTATACACCTTGTCTTTGTAGACGATGCGTTATGTAGTAAAAAGGTAATTTATTAATGACGTGTAGCGCTTTGAAACGCACCGAGAGATCTCTCGTAGATTTCCCTTGGAAACTTTTTTGATGTGGACAAATGTTTTTGTTTCAGGTCTAAAGTGGAAACGATGCTGAAGAAAGGTTAGTATCATCTTTATAATTAATTAGAGTATATGCCATTTACTTGAATATGTGGAATGAAAAACTTCTATAACGCTAGATTAAAACTAATTTCAGGCAAATTTGAATAGTTAATTGTTTATACAGTGATTTAAAGTTTAATGTTTAATTTCTAGTTAGTTGAATGTAATATTTTAATATATTGTCTCTTATGGAAATGTTTTAAAATTATAGTAGTCTACTCGGTTCGATTGTGCCACAATTGTGCAAGCAATAACAAATTGTAATAAATTTTAAATATTAGTCAACAAACATACTCACCAAAATAAATTCACGCGCACCTCAGACATGCATTCTTACAAACATAATTACATGTTTACAAAAGCTCAAATGTCCATAAATATATAGTAAATGAGTTCGATAATTCGACACCAAAATATAACGGAAAACTGAATTCTTTTAAATACCATGAGCTTTATCAAATCCGCGAATCAAATAAGTCTTTTCTTTCTTTGGATCACATTCGAGTGGTTTTGCTTACGCAAACAACATTAATTAATTAATATGTGAGACGAATTACTACTACGTACATCACATAAGTCCTATTTTTCATAGTAAAAATTGTGAAATTTAAAGGCACAAGAAAAACTTAGATAAATGTTTCCGTTGCCGAATTTGTTACTATATAATTTTATCTGCATTTAAATAAAAGATAAAAAATAATACGTATCTAAAATGACTTGTACTATCTTTATTCAAGTCCATCAAATAAATGAATTAATAATCATTTTGAACGAAAACTAGGAATTTAATGATCCTTATGAAGTTATACTACTGTAAATTCGTCAAGTTGAACAGTTCTTGTTTATATTATTTCAATTTTCTAACACACGAATTAAATTTATTCTATTGAAATTTATATGGTCGCGATTTACAATATACTCCCTGTTTATTTAAACGTTTGAACATTGTAATTGTGACAGGAAAAATGTGAAACGTCCAAATTTAAGTTTTACTCAGATCTGAAAGCTGTCTCGATGCACTTAACTAATTCTTTGTTGAAATAATTGGGCGACGGGCGCCTCTAAAACGAATTCCTCGGATGGAATTTGAGGGTTCGCAGAAACGTTTACAATAACCTGGGATATCTCAAAATCAATTCCGTAAACCATTTCAAATAATAATTTCGTCGAAAAATTATTGATTTTAATCAATGCAATAAAATCCTTAAAAATTGTAACATTTAATTACCAGAAAATCAAAATTACTTTAATAGTTTTAATCCTGTATATTTTCTTATTCTTGGACTAGTATTTTTAACAGTTTATTTGCGAGATAGTCACCTCATACTTTAAATATGTTTGGATTAGGAAACATCATTAAACACGTAGAGAATTAATCAATTGTATGTTTAAGGTAACATTAAATCCATAGCGAAGAGCTAATCAGGCCGTACTTTTAAACTGAACTTATTTAAAATTGCCGATAAATTAGTTTTCTAACTGTTAACTCGAGTCTTATTTTTTTCACTAGTACAATAGGTACTAGTAGTATGGGTACTGTTGTATTATTAAAAAAAAAATCACGTAACTTATTTACAGCATGTATTGTCAGTGTACTTAGATTGAGAAAAAAAAAACATAGTTATCTTGGCATGCCGTTTTTGAACGTTATCTAGTCTTAATTGTAATGAAAACTAGAGATAATGTTCGATTCTTGTTTTAATTGTAGATTTTTTTTTGTAGATCACCGAATGTTTTAGAGACTTAGAGCAGTTCGTAACGTACTAAAACCAACCCCTTGCATATTATTGTCTATTTTTTTTTTCTAGAACAGTCGAACAAATAATGTATATTTTTTGAAATAAGTACTTTACCTTCATTCGCACAATATGTGTAATTTTATAAAGATGCATATTATTATGGGGATATTTAATCGTTTTCTCATCTGGTTGGGTTTATGAAGATGCATATTAATTTATTATCTTGCTACTGTTCATGAGGGGGCAAATTAAAAATAAGAATCCAAGTGGCCTTGTATATATTGTAGTCACAAAAAGAAAACTGCTTACATAACATTAATTTTACAAATAATATTTTTACAGCACTACCACAAGCCTTTTAGGTTATGAATAAAACTATATTTCGAACAAAAATGCACCTGAAAAAAACAAATTACAAGGCTTATAATTTAATTCTGGCTCGTGACTATGTTGATGATATACATATTAAATAAATTATGATAATATATTACTTGTTCCATGCATTTGACATACATTTATACATTTGTTAAACTAAACTAAACTATCGAAATTACTTATCGAATTATATCATAACAATGTGCAAATAATTTCTCAAAAAATGGATTTTTTTATTAGGAGTGGCTGTCACACAAATGTGTGACAGCCAGACGAATCCTTATAGTTCTTCATCAAATACATCAGATAAATATTGGCCATGGTCTATGATGTATTGTATTTGTTTTTTTTTATCAAACTTCTTTATTTTAACCTCGAAAAAGATAATTTTAGCAGATACATATGATTTATCTTTATGGTCGAATATCTACAAAGCAAATATATAAATATCACTGAATATACACAGATGTATTGACTTTATTTTTTTGTGCAATATTAGTTATATTTAAACTGTTTGGTTAGTTTCGTCATGAGCGGGTAACAAAATCTTAAGAATGCTGTCTCAATCATTAATTCACATAACGTACGTGATTGTTGCGCACATTTTATTAAAAGGTGGCAACGCGTCTGGAACCCTACGGGCGTTGCAAATGCGCATGAGCGGCGGTTAACACTTAACATCAGGTGACCCGCCGATTTTCGGTTTTCACCTTCTAAATTTAGTATGCGGCGTTAAAGATTCGGGCAAGAAGAATTATGAAAGTTATGTTAAAA